CGTTATTGTGAACCGCCATGACGATTGTGGGGTCCCACCAGGCGTACCAGAAACGTGTGTCGACACAGAATTTTTTTCCCGTGCCGAGGACACACGCAGCAAGCCGGAAGGGTCCGCTCGATGGAGCAGATCCGCCTAGCTTCAGCGCAGGGATGGTCGATCCTGCGCAATCCTCCCGAGACGTGCTAGTCAATTTGACCCTACAATTGACAAGGAGAGAAAGTTTATCAGTAATTAAGGGCAGAACTTGCCGGTGTTGCCAGACAGTCCTGAATATGCGGCTATGAGAGCCGATATGAAAGGGGATCGACTAAATAGTTGATTCTAGTATATTTATGAGAATAAATCAGTTAAAGCTCATGGGGTTGTGTAAGAAGAATCGGTTATCATTCAGGATAAATATCGTTATTTGAGCAAATAATAATCAATGGCAATAAGATATCAACAATGATCGGTCTGTGCTGAGCCAATGATTACAAGTAACCGAACCCCTTTTATATAAAGAAACAATTCAACGCTATGTAACCATTTAATAAAGATAAATCTAATGAACATGTTAGATCTTATCTATCACTACGACCAGTGGGGCATGAGACAGAATCATGCAGGTCATAGAAATAACGATAACCTCGATGACCCTAACTCGTTACTAATATCAGTGGGGCATGAGGCAGAATCATGCAGGCCGTAATACAATAATAAGATCGTGGGGCTAACATGTCTTTCAACCTATCTTTACTTCAACGGTCTGGCGACGCGAACTGTTCGTGAAAACATTCGATATCGGCTAAAATAGCCGATTCAGGCATAGCGCACAGTTAAAGTCATGCCTCACCAGGAATAGATCTACTAAATAACGATCCCCACTCCATGGTGCTAACAGCGGGGTGTGAGGCAGAATCACACAGGCCGTGATAATGGGCCGTGGAACGGTTTTCGCTAGCCAATAGATATACTCGAGACGCAACATGCCTTAACCGCACGTTATGCATGATTAAGATTGGTATAAAACAGCCGATAAAACATAACTCATCGTTTAAGATATAGATTAGATCAGTTTTAGAGCAAACGATGGGTCAAATAAGATATAAGGCCGATCTAAATCAATCTCAATCGGGTAGAGTGATATTGCTGTAATTAGATAAATAATGAAAGCAATAAGCAATATCGGTAACTTAATAAATCTACCAAAGACTGCCATTCTAAGGTAGAGCCAATAACTTGACCTTGATCTAATTCAAGCAGTGGGATGTGAGGCAGAATCACACAGGTCATACTTGAATTAAACAAGAGTCGATAACTAGCTTATACCAGAGCCGCAGTGGGGGTCGACCGGATCGATGCAGCCATACAAACAGAGGTATAAACCATGATAGTACTTACAAACAAGCAGTGGAGGTCAATCTAATCGATGCAGCCGTACTCGCTGAAGAACTCGCCGAGATCTACTCTACTTCTACTCCTAAGGGGTGGCCGAATCCAAAAAAAGTAATTGACTTGTATTTGGATTGATTGATGTCCTTTTACAATAGCCGGGGCTTGATATTTATACCCGAGACTTGTGCATGACTCATCACAATTTTTGACCCTAAAGAAAACATTCCTAATTTTAAGATAACTTGGACTCTAATCTTTCCCTTTTGTAGAGTCCAACATGTTTCGTCCTGGCGCCGAACGTAGCCTTTGTCATTATCCGCTGGCGCTATCTGAAGAAAGCCGATTCTAGTTTTTGCATCCGAATCAGCTGGTTTTGATATGCACGTAATTGATTCCTTGATAACACGATCTCGGGAGCTTTCGAGTCCCGCAACTCTTCTTCCAAATTTTGGTGTAAACACTGTCGTGCGTGTGAACCGGATTCTTCACGAGGGCGGCGGGCTGGTTGTCCACCATCGGTCTTTGGTGGGTGAGCTTCCACGCCGGTCAGCTCGCCCGATGGTGGCGCTGACCACACAACAACTTGGCATGCATTGTGGCGCCGCTATGTACTCTACCTCGCGCATAGATAGCACCACCACCTTACTGTTTTAGTGACGACCATGAAATTGGAGCCGACCGAGGAAGATGAGCACGCCGGAGGTGATCGTCGTCCGTCGATGTCCCCCACCATGTCTGCATCGCTAAACACAGTGAGCTGCAACCTACTCTCGCCGGTCTTGGGAAAGATGATCCCTTGATCCACCGCCCCTTTGACGTAGCGCAGTAGCCGCTTCACCGCAGCCCAGTGATCCTCTCTGGGATCCTCCATGAAGCGACCGAGCGTAGCCTGGCGAATGCAATGTCGACCTCGTGTGGACTAGGTAGTAGCTTGATGCCGATGATGCTCTGGTAGAGTGTTGCATCCACCTTCGCCGTGGTGCTAGCCTTCGACAGCTTCAGCCGCTCCTCCATCGGAGTTATGCATGGCTTGCACTCAGCCATGCCGCTCCGCTCCAATAGCTTTGAGGCATACGCGCTCTGACTGAGCGTGAGTTCCTCCTTCCCCTATCTCACCTCGATGCTGAGGTTATTAGGAGAGTGCGCCGAGATCGCTCATTCAAAAACGAGCCGCCATCTCGCGCTTGAAGCTGTCGATATCCTCCATGCACACGCCAGTGACGATCAAGTCGTCCACATACATGCTGACAACAAGCTCCTCCTTCCCCCGTGGCCACATGTAGAGCACGTGCTCGGTTGCGCACCGTAGAAACCCAAGCTCACCCAGCGTGGCGTCAAGCTTGGCGTTCCATGCTCGAGAGGCTGCCACGGCCGTAGAGCGCCTTATGCGATCGGAGCATCCTATGCTCCTCTCCCTTGATGGCGAAACACGGAGGTTGCCCGACGAAGACCGTTTCCGCCAGGTTTGCCATTGAGAAAGGCTGATTTAATGTCCAAGTGATGGACACGCCGGTCCTTCTTTCTTTGCCAAGGCTAGTATCAAACATACCGACTCTATCGCGCTCTTTGGCGCAAAGACCTCCTCAAAGTCTATGCCCTCGAGCTGAACAAAGCCTCGGGTGATGAGACGCGCCTTGTGCTTGACAATGGCACCGAAGCTCATCCTATTTGACCTTGTATACCCACTTGGCTGATCGGATGACATCACGGAGGTGGATCGATGAGCTGCCAAGTCTCATTTTCCTCGATCGCCTTCATCTCTCCTCGACGCTTCGCCGTCGCGATTTCCGTCCCGCTTCGGCTAGCTTGAACGTAGGTGGTTCCTCTACTGGCGACGAGCGGTAGCTCTGTGTCATTGAAGCGGTACCGACCGGCCGATCCACGAGGGTCTGTCTGCCGACAATGTCGTCCGACCTATGGAACCGCACCTCCTCACCTTTGTGGAAGGCATCCACGAACTCAGTGATGTCACTTGGAGGTGAGGCGAACTCGATCGGCGTTGATGGAGTTCCCTGTTCCACCGGAGTGCTCGGCATAGCACCATGAGTGCTCGGCACCCTGGTTGCAGTGGTCGGTACTACTTCTGGATAGCTCGTCATAACTCCTGCGGTGTTTGGCCACCGCAGTGAGGAGTGCCCGACCTTAGTCTTGGAGTGGTGGCACCACTGCAAGGCGCTTTGGCTTCACCACAGGAGTGCTCAACACCCGTCCTGGAGTGGTCGCCACCACTACAGAACGTCCCGGCGTCACTCCTGGCGTGCTCGGCATCCCTCTAGGAGTGCTCGGCACTCCTCCCAGAGTGCTCGGCATCCCTCCTGAAGTGCTCGGCACTGCCCAGGAGTGCTCGGCTCTACCGCTGGAGTGATTGGCACCCCTCCCAAGTGCTCGGCACCTCTTCCCTAGTGTCTCCACCACCGTGGATGACCGGTGCTCGATAGCGAAGGTCTTTGGTGAAGCCACCATCTTCCCCCGTGCTCGGACTGCTCCAGTCCCAAGCCACCTTCTCATCGAACACGACGTCGCGCGAGACAAGTACCTTGTCTCCGTGTGGGTCATAGAGCTGGTATGCCTTGGTACCCTCCGCGTAGCCCAGGAACACCATTGGTGTGCTCCTATCCTCCAGACTTGGTGAGGTTTGACCGTCTTCTCGACATGGCGATGCGGCCCGAATGTCCAGAGGAAGGACACACTCGGCTTGCGTCCATACCAAGCTTTGAACGGTGTCTTGCCCATCAGGGCCTTGGTCGGAGCGCGGTTAAGGATGAACACCGCCGTGGTCACTACCTCCCCCTAGAACCTTGCCGGCATGCCTTTGGCCTTCATCATGGATCGGGCCATGCCGACCACCGTTTGGTTCTGTCGCTCCACCACGCCATTACTGTTGTGGTGGCGAGTGCGGCGGTGTGGTGTTGCCCACACCTTGATCCACGTAGTACGCGGCGAACTCCACCGAAGTGAATTCACCACGCGATCGGTCCTCAAAGACGCCGAGCTTCTTGTCGCTCTCGGCCTCCGTGGCGCATCTTGAACTTCTTGATCACCGCTGCCACTTCGTCCTTGCTTGTCAGGAGTTGTAGCCATATGCAGCGACTGCAATCATCCATGAGCAGGAGGAAGTACCGTCGACCACTGTTTGTAGCAGGCATGATCCGCCCGCAGAGGTCGCCGTGGACTAGCTCGAGAGCGTCCTTCGCATGATATTTGGCCGCCTTTGGGAAAGGTAGCCTCCTCTGCTTCCCGGCCAGGCAGTTGTCACACAGCTCACCTTCGTGCTTGATGTGGGGTAGCCCTCGGACCATCTTCTCCAGCTGACAAAGCACGTCGAAGCTGAGATGTCTGAACCGAGCATGCCACATCCACGGTTCCTCGGAGTCACCCTGGGCTTTCGGTTAACCGAAACCGATCGGTTCGGTTCTTTGGTTTCTTGACAAATTCGGTTCCTTAAGAAATAGTAACCGATTGGTTCTTTTGAAATCTAGGAACTGACCAAATTCAGTTTGGGTTAATTCGGTTCAGTTCTGGTTATGACCGAACTAACCGAGGAGCTAGGAATAGAGAGAAAAAATTCACAGAATCGCACATCCAAGTTACAAGAGCAACACAAATCACTAATTCCAGCAGCGATGAAGAACAAAGCATCGGTTTCTAGGTTACAGATCGAAAAACACGTCTCCTTGCTCGCCTACGCCGGCACCTGCGTGGTGCGCACCACCTCGCCTATGGCCCATGCCTCGCCCTGCTCGCCGCTGCGCCTCTTGCCTAGCTCGCCGTCGCACGGCTTGCCTCGACCTGCTCGCCACCGTGTGGCTCCCTATCTCACGTGCTACCGTCGGATGTAGGACGAAAGAGAGAGAGGGAGGCACGGGCCATGCCAGAGCGGCGGAGCCACCAGATCTGAGAGTTGAGAGAAGGAGGGGAAGGGAGATTGGATGCACCATGGCCAAGCACACAAGCGCTTTGCCTCGTGTGTCCGCGTGGCGTGTAGCCGAGGAGCACCGCCTCCGTGTGATGTGCACATCCTGCGGCTCGCCTTCACGCCTTCATGGGCGGGGAGGGAGTGGGGAGCGGCGGGATTGGGGCAGCGAGGAGGGAGTGGGGAGCGACGAGATTGGGGGTAGCGTCACAGCGAGGAGGGGAGTGGGGAATAGGGGCGTGGGGTAGGCGGGGTGGGATCTAAGAGGCGGCGGGTGAGGGTAGTCAGAATTTATACCTAGGGTTTACCTCTGTTCGGTTATTTCGGTTAACCGAGCACTAGAACCGGATTAACCGTAGTAATTTCGATTCTTGAACCTAGAACCAACACGGGACCGAATATTTCGGTTTGGTTACTTTGGTTCGGTTCCGGTTATTTCGGTTTGGTTCTCGGTTATTTTTGCCCAGATTGACCTCGGAGTGCCTTGCCGCTTGGCACACCGGCTGCTCTACCTTTAGGTCGAGCAGGTACAACCAGTTCAGGGACCTCTTCACCTTGGCAAGAAGTCGCTGCTCCCAGTCCCTGATCCTAAGGACTCCGTCCTTGATCAGTATCTTGCTACCACGCTCATCCGGTGACCAATCTGATGATCTTTGGAGCAGCGACTATGGGATATAATATACATCCGTTAGCGTGCGGTGCTCTCCGTTTCGCTTTTTGAAGATAATGGTGCGCGCCCTTGGATAGCCACCCTTGAGCCATCACCAAACTTCACCATACCAAGTAACATCGTCGTCGAGCTCGGAGAAGGATGCCTTGGAGCCCGTCATGTGGTTGCTGGCACCAAAGTCTAGATACCACCGCTACTCCTGATCGGCGCCCACATGTTCGAGGTTGATGGTCTTCAGGGCCGTCCTAGGTACTTCCACCATCGTCGTCTCTTCCCTCTCCTCGGCCTCGATCGTGCAAATGCGATTGCGAGCGTCACCATCGGGATAGTGGCCTCAACCTCATCATCGGCTTGCGCTAGATGAGCTGAGCCTTCTTTTCACGCTTGCGATGTGGGCACTCCCATGCCCAATGGCCCATCTTCCCCTACGCCGACAAGCGTTGGGGTCGACCGCTTCTTCTTCTCCGAAGAAGCCCTTCCGCGGCGGTTGCCATCGCCACCGCGACTGGAGGAGGCTGCCTTCTCGAAGTTTGTCCGAGCAGCCCACTCCTCTTCCGTCAGCAGGAGTTTCCCACTTTGTCCTTTGTTGTTGTCGCTTTGCTCTAGGAGCTCGTCCACCAACATGAGACGGCCTATCACATCCTCAATGGTGAGGGTGGACAAGTCCAACATCGTCTCTATGGAGAGAGCGATCGGGATGTACTTCTTGCAAGACGGAGTGGAGGTACTCGGAGACCGCCTCTTCTTCGTCGATGGTGACGCTATGGCTCTTCAACTAGCGATGAGTGTCTCTGAGGGAGAACTCCTCCACCATTTCACCATCCTTGAACTTGAGGTTGGTGTACTCACCTTGAAGCTAGGGACGTCGCCTTCTTTACAGTCGGAACAGCGCGCATCGCCGCAATAGCCTCACACGCCTCCTTAGCCATTGAGCTTTAGCGCCCCACGGCTCCCTGTACTCCGCCCGGTACAGCGGCGAGGATAGCCTCCAGCCGACATGTCATCTTCCTCATTATTATCGATGCCATTGTCAACAGCATTCCGAGCCGCGGGCTCGAAGCTTGACCTTCATGGTCACCGACCACTCTCCATAGTTGATGCGAGTCGGCGTCGGCCAAGCCCGGTGCCGTTGACCTCTCGCATCCGTCTGAACAACGACCTCCGGTCGTGGCTGGGCAGCCACAGCAGTGCCACTGCTATCGCCCATCTCCGAACCACCCATCGTTGCTTGGGTGGTTGGTGAGGCGACGGTGCTTGTACGGCTCGATACCACTTGTTGGCCCACGGGATCACCGCCTCGGTGAGTGAACCACTCACCCGGTCTTGTCGAGCACCCGCTAGTGTTGCCAAGCACCCACTAACCGTGCCGACCACGAACAAGCGTTGTCCGTCCCCCACACACTATGGCTAGAGCTAGAAGAAGAAGGGAGAACAGAGCATGCACACACAGTACAAGATACCAGCGTTGACCGAAGCCCTGTCTGGAAGATGGCAAATCTGAACTCTCTTTACTGAGTTGCCATGGTAGTCTATTTATACAACTCTATCCATCTAGTCCCAGTACAGCTGCCCTGCTGCAATAGTGACTAGATAACATACATGGCTGACTCTGCGCCGGCCTCTGCATGTGCCTACAGTGCTGTAGGTGAGCCTTTCGTCGTCTTCCCTTGCTGTGTTCACACAAGGTAGCAGTAGATTATCTAACAATCTTTCTCGATTTTGTCCTGGGTTTTGTTTGCTGAAATCTGTGTGATTATGCAAGAAATATTTGATGTTTATCTCTTAATTAATGTCTGATTGGAAGGTGGGTTTTTTTTTTGTTTTTTGTTCCATACATATTTGATTCGACCCATACACATTATCAGGTTTTAATCAATCCTGAACCAAAGGCACGAAGAATCAACAGGGTGATTCTGTCAGAGCTTCTCAAGGTGCATGGTGCAACATCCCTCGCCCACAAGATACCTGCCTATGATGGAAGCAAGAGCCTGTACACAGCAGGCGAGCTGCCCTTCAAATCAATGGAGTTTGTTCTCAAGTTAGGGCGCCGGGAAATGTAAGTACCACTCCTGTGTCCTATGTGCAGTACACTCTCTTGTGACTTGCAGGTGCTTACTGACGAAATTCACATCCTGTTATTTTGTTTGCTGAAATTCAGTGAGTACAAGGTGACAATCCGATATGCGGCACGGCCAAACCTGTACCATCTTCAGCAATTCCTCGAGGGTCAGCAAAGGGACGCGCCATATGACACAATCCAGGCACTGGATGTTGCCCTAAGAGAGTCACCTTCTCTCAAGTAGGATATCAGTGCCATTTCTTCACTGTTTCTTTTCTGCAGTATCCTTTTTTGTTGAGCTGCTAACCATGTACTTACTAATTTCCTTTTGTTTTGCAGTTATGTCACTCTTTCTCGTTCCTTCTTCTCCAAGAAGTTTGGTGATGGGGAGGACATTGGTGGTGGGCTAGAGTGCTGGAGAGGATATTACCAGAGCTTGCGCCTAACTCAAATGGGTCCCTCCTTGAACATTGGTAAATGATCTTATCCAAACAATAAACATGTACAAAATTGCACCAAAGAATTACTTGATTTTGATTGAGTCTCAATATCGAGGGGTTCGATTGAACATTGATTCTATAGACCACCATGCTATGTTTCTACTCTTCAACTTAGAGCACGCTCCTCAACTCGCTTCCCTTTAGTAGAAATGCAACAGATAAGCATCTCTATTGCATGGTTAACAATAGTATAAAAACATATTTCATATACAACCATATTAGTTTAATTTTTTTGTGACTATATTAGCTTAATTAAGATGTGCCTAAATTTATTACGATGAATTCAATTCCAAGGATCCAAACGAGGAGTGAAATGTAGATGGGGCCTTCTTTTTTTATGTGATCAATGTCCATGTGCATATGTTTTCGTTTTTATATCCTCTTCAGATACATGCTCGACCTCATTTTACCAATCTATCCCTGTGGTAAAATTTGTTGCTGACTGTCTTCGGCTTACAAACCCCTCCCAACCTTTCTCGGACAGGGATCGTTTGAAGGTAGCATTTGTCAACAAAAGTTGACACATTCAATTTAACTACAGTAACCGACTGATCTGTCTCTATGTATAAAATTTCAGCTTAAGAAAAGCCCTGCGCTTGGAGTTCGTGTTGAGACTACACACCAGCAGGAAAAAGAAGCATCTACAAGATAACTGGGATTACCCCTGTTCCATTGGCTCAGCTGAGGTATCCATCTGTTCATATCTCTTCCCTCCTCCTGTTTGGTCTAGTACCAAGACGAACTTATTCATTTCAATTCTTGTCTTCAGCTTTTCTTGTAACGAAGGCCCTCAGTTGACTGTTGTCCAGTACTTTGCACAACAGTACAATTACCGGTTGCGCTACACTGCTTGGCCCTGCCTGCAGTCTGGCAATGATTCTAAGCCGATATATTTACCAATGGAGGTAATATTTGGATCTTTGTGATTCCTACACAGCACCTGGTGCACCATGCAATAGTTATATGCATAATGTGTTTTTCAGGTGTGCCAAATCATTGAAGGGCAGAGGTATCCTAGGAAGCTCAGCGACACACAGGTGGCCAGCATACTGAAGGCAACCTGTAAACGTCCTCAGGAGAGGGAGGATAGCATTATTAAGGTATAGGCCAAGCTAACTTTGGCTTTGTACTGAATATTTTATTTTTGAAATTTTCTCTTTGTCTGATCCTTTGTTATTTCTGATGTTTTGTCACATCAAATAAAGGGCCATGAGTAAAATGTTTGTTTATCTTGTATAGATGGTTCGCCACAACAACTATTCAGCTGATAGGATGGCACAGGTGTTTGGGATCACTGTGGCCAACCAGATGGCTAATGTGCAAGCCCGTGTTCTGCCCCCACCTATGGTATCTATTATGCAACATTCTCAGTTTGATGATTTGTGTTTTCTCTTTTATTTAAATAATTCCAAGAATGACCTGTATTTCAACTTTTTTCAGCTGAAATACCATGAATCTGGAAAGGAGAAAACCGTTGCACCAAGCTTGGGGCAATGGAATATGATTAACAAGGTGATTCTATATGTGTTGGCTAGTTAAATTTCCTGATCTGATTTTTTTCTTGCAAGATCATTTTCATTGTACGTTGATATAAGTACATAAAAGTGCAAACAAAATATTTGGTGGTTCCTAGAGTTGTTTATTGTTGGATTTGGAGTAGTCTTCCTACTGAGGTTCTCACCTTTTGTTTCCAGAAAATGGTCAATGGTGGAACCGTTCGCAGCTGGACTTGTTTGAGCTTTTCGCGGATTCCGCTTCATGTAGTAGACAGAATATGCGAGGACCTGGCTCAGATGTGCAATTCCATTGGCATGGTAAATTCGTGCATATGCTTCTGGATACTATTATAGTTGTTAACATAATCACCAGCCACGGCATGTCGAATTTGACGTCAATGATATTTCAGGATTTCAATCCAAGGCCAGTGACAGAAGTTCAGTCAGACTCGCCCAACCACATAGAAGCTGCTTTAAGGGATGTTCACATGAGGGCTCCGAATTTGCAGCTGCTTATTGTGATTCTTCCAGATATTTCTGGTCATTATGGTACGTGCATCTTTGAAAAAACTTTGCAACTTATAATTTTTGTCAAAATAAAATCACGTGCATGTTGATATGGGAAACTTTCTTTACACAACTCTATTGGAAAAGTTAACCAGTAGCAAGTTATATTGCTTTTGTGTAGCACACACATCTGGAAAGTTATTATGTGTAGCATACTCAAGGCAGGTTATCGCATTGTATGTGTAGCAAACATAGAGTGTACTTTTCCAGCGGCACTTATGCTTGGTTTCATAGTAAACTCATTGTTGTGCAATTTTGTAGGGAAAATTAAGAGGATGTGCGAGACTGACCTTGGTATAGTATCTCAGTGCATCAATCCGAAGAAGAATAAAACAAACAGTATTTTGAAAATGTCGCCCTTAAAATCAATGTGAAGGTCAGTGCTGTCTACTGCTTTCTTCTTCTTTGTGTGGTTGAGCTGTTATGGAAATTGAAATTTATTCTGCCTTTTATCAGGTCGGAGGGCGCAATACAGTGCTTGAGAGAGCCTTTGTGCCTAATGGAATACCTTTTGTCTCAGATGTGCCAACAATCATTTTAGGTGCTGATGTTACCCATCCTACAGCAGGAGAAGATTCTTCCTCGGCTTCTATTGCAGCTGTCAGTTTCTTGTTCTCTGCTAACAATTGTTTCGTTCAAATGCTATAGTAATTTAAAAGAATTTTTCACTGCGCATTTGAACATTTACTGCCAATGGAAATGTTGCGACACAAAGTAACGGAATAGATGGTATAACCTTTTGCAGGTGGTTGCATCCATGGACTGGCCACAGGTCACAACATATAAAGCACTGGTCTCGGGCACAAGCACATAGGGAAGAGATTATACAAAATCTCTTCTGGACTGGTACAGATCCACAGAAGGGCACTCCAGTGAACGGTGGAATGATAAGGTAACTTGTATCCTTTTGTGTTCATGAGAACTGTTGGATGAAAGAGGTGACAGTTTGAAACTAAGGTGCGGCTGAATTATGCTGTGCAGAGAGTTGCTGACTTCATTCTATAAGAGGACTGGCCGGAAGCCCCAAAGGATTATATTTTACAGGTATGTGCTTGACTTATTTACATAACTATTTGATGAAGCCTTCATGACTTCCAATACTTTCGTTTTGTTTATTTAGGGATGGTGTAAGTGAGGGACAATTCAGCCACGTTTTGCTCCATGAAATGGACGCAATCAGGAAGGCCTGTGCCTCTATGCAAGATGGGTATCTACCCCCAGTGACATTTGTGGTGGTACAGAAAAGGCACCACACAAGGCTTTTCCTGAAGTTCATGGAAGGAGAGATCTTACTGACAAAAGTGGAAACATTCTTCCTGGTTAGTACCATGATCTTCATCCTTGTTTATATAATTTATAAAAGTAACGTAAACAGGCAGAAGAAACATCCACCTTAGCTTCAGCAGTAGTCAGTGAAAATTGGACCCTGGTTGGCTTAAAGACAACCACCGCACTAGCTACACTATATCTTAGGGAGATCTCCGCTTCTAACATAATTATGATATTATTTTGAGCATATACATGTAGATTTTGATTTGTGACTTCTTTTTCCACAGGAACTGTGGTTGATACCAGCATTTGTCATCCCAGCGAGTTTGATTTCTACCTTTGTAGCCATGCTGGAATTAAGGTATGTGTGTCAGACACTTGGCACCTTGTGTGTCAGACACTCAGGCCGCAGGCTTTTTGATTGTGTAATATTTGTCACTCTGAATGTGAATTCATTTCTTCAGGGAACAAGCAGGCCAACACACTATCATGTCCTCTACGATGAGAACCATTTCTCGGCTGATGCGCTGCAGATGCTCACAAACAGCCTGTGCTACACGTAAGCTTGACCCGACTCCCATTCACCACTGCTCCAACTTTGTGTTACTATACTATATTTTTCCCCAACCAACAATATATTTGCTGCCATCTGAACTCAAGCTTATTTTTGTTTTGCAAATGCAGATACGCACGCTGCACGCGCGCTGTCTCTGTTGGTAAGTCGAACAGTCTCACTAATCTGTTTGCGTGATTAGCCAAGTATTGCAACTTCATTACTTGGGGAGATTAGTTTTCTTTTCCTGTTTCTTTCTTTATTTGTGTCCAGATTGATGATCTTGGAGTTCCTTGTTTAGCACTGGAATATTTATTCTGATCCTCCTCTCCATGCAGTTCCACCAGCCTACTACGCTCACCTGGCAGCATTCCGCGCGAGGTACTACTACGACGAGCAAGATAGCACCGATGGAACCTCAGTTGTCAGTGGCGGTGCCGCCGCAGCCGGCGGTGGTCCAGCTGCATTCCGCAGGCTCCCCCAGATCAAGGAGAATGTGAAGGAAGTGATGTTCTTCTGCTGATGAGGCGGTGCGAGCTGCTGTTTGCTTCTAGTGTTGCATGCCTTGGCTTCAGGCTCCCTCAGTATGCAAGAGGTCTTATTAGTTTATAAACTTAGCTGCTGATGCAACTTTTAGTGTCTGTGGTAAACTGGTATTGATATCTGTTCTGACTATATTTTGCATGAGTGCTGGTAATGAATTTTTAGTTGTGGTTTTGTTGTTTTTCCTCTTTAAAATATTCATAGAATTTGGGTAGTGCTAGTGATCTGTAGAGTCTGATCTGGACCGTGGCAGTGCATATATTTTTCCATTTGGCACTAACACGATGGGCCGCCCAGTGCGGCGCGGAAAAGCACGGCCCGTGCACGGCCTGGCCTGGTTAGCATCTTGCCCGTGTCTAACATGGCCCGGCCGTGAGTGCCATGCCTGGGCCGCCATTTCGCCCGCATGATACCGCCTGAGCACGGGCACGGTTAACAGGCCGGCTTACGCAGCTGTGTAACGACTTTAGAGCCGTTGATCTGCCTCCCTGCTCCTCTCGGCCGTTGGATGTGCCCATTGGAGGGGGGGGGTATATAATCGCCTCACCATTGTCGCCCGTATCCCACCTAAACCCTAATTCATTTTGAGCCTCTCTCTCTCTCTCTGTCTCGCTCTCCTCTCTAGCTCTCTTTATTTGCGATGGACGACTCCTCTCCCGCCTCCAACCTCCTCTCTTCTTCTCCCCACCCGGTGGCCTTTGGCACACAAGCGCGGCATAGTATCCCCCATCTTCTTGATCTCGCATCATCAATGTAGCCTCGTCCTCTCCTTGTCCTCCTCTTCGTATCCGTCGACCTCACTGGATGCCGGCTGCTCTGATGCTCCAGATTTGAATCCATTGAGGAACCAGAGGGACAGATCCGTGTTTCATCAACGTCGCTGGCGATTCTGGTGCCCCGGCTGCGAAGGTAAGCCTAACCCTAACCCTAACCCTAACTTGCTAATCCTTGCTAACCCTAACCCTAGATCTGTACCAACGCTTCTTTTTTGTAGCTGTTGAGGAACCAGGGCGCCGGCGAGTGACGATGCCCGGCTCCGACGACGAAACGGTTGAGGTCGGAGCCAACAAAGAGAGGCGGTTGTGCGGGTTGGCCGGAGATGATGATCAGGACAACCTGCGCAAGGACGCTGAGGAGCTGTTCGGCCGTAGCGCTCAGGCTCCCATTGATGTCGGCGATGGTCAAGAAGGTGGGGCAGCAAACGACGAGGAAGGTGAAGAGGACGAGAACAGCGCCAAGCGCTTTCGTCCCTCTACCTCGGTAGTGTGGCTAGATTTTAAGAAGCTCTTCAAAAAAGTCAATGGTATGAAGGTCAGGTATGCCGCTAAGTGCATCCATTGCTCTAAGCAATATTCCGCTCTCTCTAGTGGTGGCAATGGTCACCCCATCCGGCATAGGGATAAATGCCCCAGGAGGCGTGAAAATAAATCGCATATCTCAGTCTCAGATCTCTTTTAATCCTGATGGTAGTATGCGTAATTGGGAGTATTATCTTATGGTTGCACGTACTGAACTTGTTCGATTGCTTGCTAGGCTAGATGTTCCTATATCGGTATGGGTGAAACCAGTGCATTTGAAGAGTGTATTAGAACTGTTCATAATCCTAAATAAGTTCCTGTCTCTAGGCAAACCATCACTAGAGACATGGTTAAATTTTTCACTGATCGCAAGGATAAGCTTATTGAGAATCTTAGTTCTTCTGCTGCTAATTATGTGTGTTTGACTTCTGATATTTAGTCTAGTAATACCAAAGAGAACTACCTTAGTGTTGTTGCTCGTTACATAAACTCTGATTGGCAACTAGAGAAGAGGGTGCTTGGTCTTGTGCTTATTGATGTGTCCCACAATGGATAAAACATTCTTTGACCATGTTGTATCTGTGCTTCTTGATTATGGTTTTGGTGAAAAGGTGTTTCTTTGTTACTTTAGACAATGCATCATCTAATGTTTCGCCATGTGTAAACTTAGACCTGTGCTGTATAAATATCTTAGTATTGAGGTTGTAGATTATCCTATTGAATCACAATCAGACAATGTATCATCCCTTACTGCAATTAATTCAATGTTCTTGCATCAGAGGTGTATATTATCCTACATCTCCACTTATGATTCATTATCTTGTTAAGATTGCTATACACCTAAAGAAATATGCTAATGACAGTCACATCAGACCTGTGGTTCAACCTATGATAGACAAATATAATAAATACTAGAGGGACATACCCTTGCTTTATTCTTTTGCATTCATCCTAGATCCTAGAGCTAAAATGAAAGGTTTCAATAGAGTGCTTAGGAGGTTGGGTAACCTTACTGGTACAGATTATACTACTTACCAGCTTGTCACTAGAGCTCGACTTATTGATGTTTACAATAAGTATGAAGGGAAATATGGAGCTATTAGGTTGAGGAGGACTGTCCCTCCTAACCTGTCTGGTAAGAAAAGGTCTGCTTGGGATGAAATTTATGATGATGATGATGGTGGTGGTTCTGCCGGTGGTATGCATCCTCTAGCTGCTACTCTAAGCATGGCTAGAGATACTTCTGCAACTGCCATGCTGCAGGCTGTAACTTCTTCAGCTTCTAATGCTTCTGAACTTGTTTCTTACTTGGATTGTGACACTGTGAACCAGTTAAATGATGATTTTAACATCTTGAACTGGTGGCATCAAACACAAACTCATATATCCGATCTTTGTCAATCATGGCTAAAGACATTTTAAGCTGTTCTGTGTCTACCATATCTTGAGAATCTACTTTTAGTATGACTGGTAGGATCATCGAGGAGGCGGAGGAGGAGGCCGATGCACGAGATGGTGGAGATCTTGACTTGCATCAAAGATTGGGAGGATTCTTGAAGCAAGGCTGCAACACATGGTGGAGGACAAGAAACTTGAAGAAGCATTTGAAGAACTTTTATCTTGATTAGTGTCTTAGTGATCATTTATGTAATGGGACTATAATATTTTAGACTTGTGAACTTTGATGTAAGGACAATGAACTTTTTATGGAGTTGGGCTTGTACTCTTTTTTCTGTCTAGGGTTTCTCACGAGGGTGAGTTTTATCTAGACATGTTTTTAATGAGGCAGCTATTGCACTAAAGCTCCTAATAAATTGTTATTTTGTTATCTCTTCCTGTGTTTGTGTGATCTTGTGAGTTTCTGTGATCTTAACATCCTGTGATCGTGAACTTGTAAGGTAGAATCTTTGATAAGTTCCCCTGAACTTAACTTTGAGTCGATGTTGTATAAGTTTGAGATGATAAAGTTATTGTCCTTGATATTACAGTGGTCTGGTCATTTTGAAGTGTTAGGCACTTATAGTGCCGGTGCCCGGCATACCACGGCACTCACGGGCTGCCGTGCTTAATGGCATGGCACGCGCCTAAGTCGCGATAGTACCGTGGCTGGTCCGCTAAGTTATGCGCGGCGGCACTATCAAAACACGGCACGGCTAACATGCCGTGCCGCGTAGTGCCATACCTGGCCGTGCCCATGCCAGTGCCGTGTCGGGCGGCCCGTTTGGCCAACTATGGCAGTGCAAGATAACTTTGCTTGTGATCATAGGTTTCCACCCTGGAGAGCAATTCATCGAACACAACACAATGCTTTTACCAAGGAAGAGACAAAAATGCCACCATTACCATGTAACAACCAACTAAGGCCAGACCTAGCTAGCTAGGAGGAATCGGAACCCAAATGACATGGCACGGAGTTAAAAAAAAGAAAGATGAATGAGCTGTATATCTTGCTGGAGAAACACCTTAGGCCCGAGAACAAGAACCGGAAACTCACCTTGCATTGTGTTGTTTGTGCTTCGAATAATTTTTCCAAGAAAGTGCAACGGTTAAATTAAAAATTTGGAGGCCTAGGAAATATAATAGTTTTCTATTTTGCACTGTAGAAGAAGTTTCTAAGCATCAATTAAATGCTTACCATCCCTATACATACATCTATTTTTCTACAGTGCTAGCCCATAGTGCATCAATTATATAAGGGCAATACACTAAAGCACACGCGTGCAGGAAATCAAATTTCCAGATGCACACTCCATTTTAGAAAATAAATTATTTTGGTTGCCAAAACAAGGAAAAAAACGGAGTTCACCCCCACCGCCGGTCACCAACCTGCCGCGGGCGCTAGGGTTCGCCGCCCTCTTTCTCTTCCCCCACCGCCACCATCTTTTCTAGCTCCGGTGAGCTCACCCGATGCCATCTTCTCCAGCTCCGGCGAGCCTCCTCTGGCCCGACCGCCCCTGCCGTCGCCAGCTCCCCAAAGCCGCCCATCGACTATTCCCACCGCTTGGCCTACTTGCCTCCTCAAACCCCCTTTCCTTCTAAGCCCGCCGGAGTTTGGGAAGAAGGGAGAGAGAGCTCGCCGGAACCCTAAAAACCAGATCCGGGAGGAGGAGGAGGAGGACGAGGGGCCTACCTGGTGGTGGATCCATCGCCGCCAGGATCCGGCAGATCCATCGCCATATCTGCCGCCACCACCACCGGATTCGGTGGTGCCGCCGCTGCTTCCGCCATGGCCGCGCGCGTGAGAGGCGATGGGACGGACGCGAGGAGGCCGCCAGGCGGCGGGGAGGTGGCCGCCGATCACCGGAGAGAGAGAGAGAGAGAGAGAGTGGGTGGGGAGGGGATAACTGTGGGCGGGACGCGGTATGTGGGAGGGGTGTGTGGGCCTTAAGGATGTAGTGTGCGCATTCTTATTTTAGCATTTTCGATTATATAATGAAAGAAGTTTGCTCATGCTAGCACTATGCTCATAATGGTACATCGAGGAGTTGGGATACAAGACTTGGATAATAGAAATCCATGTCTAACAAGGAAGTCATCTCCCATAGGCAGAGCATGCTCTTTATGACCTCATGGCCGGTTAGAGGTGACTGAGTTGTGTTCATCTATGGCCTATTAGTGGGGTGGGTCTTGCCAATGAGGTGGAGTGCTTGCACTAGGCTGAGTTGAGAGAGTGATGGACATG